TTCCTTACCACAGCGCAAGCAGCTGGGGATGGAGGGATTGGTGAGGAGGAGGTGGTGGAGGTGGGGGTGCTGCTGGAGTGCAAGAAGATCTCGTCCTCCATGTGAGAGTGCCCAGGTGGAGAAGTGGCCACCACAGATGCAGCTATGGGCCAAAGGAACATTAGTTCAGCCATTGATTTTGAAGATCTATTGCAGTTCACTTAGACTTTTGAAGACAGAGGATGTCAGCTATAGCTCATCTCCGAGAAATGTGTAAGGAACTAGGGTACATAGTAATCCAGCATAGCCTGAGCATCGTCGAGGAACTTCAGTAGGACTTACAGATGTCCTCGAGGTCAAGGTCGTCATAGAGGAATTCATTCTCCTCAAAGTCGGGGTCCTGTGAAGAGTCGAGATAGTACTCCACATCATCCTTGATCTTGCGGATGGCGTCCACTTGCACGGAGTCGTTGTCCAGCATGCGCAGGATGGTCTCCAGCATGCGGATGTGGTACCTGTGCTTTTCGATGAAGCGCTTCAACTCCTCGATGCGGTCCTGTTTCTTTTAAGAGGGGAAGAGAGGATGCCACTGTTCGGGTATACACCGGAAAAAAGTGGCCATTTTCTCTGAGGAGACCGAAGGAAAAAAACCTACTTCTTTATCGCCCTTCTTTTTACGAGTCTGGACAGACAGAGACTCCACTTCACTCTCAAACTGATCCACCTGCATATTTAGAGTGTCTATCGTGTTCTGGTAGATAGATGGAGGACAAGGAGACCATCACTGTTATTCCTTTTGACAATAAATGACACCAAATCCACCATGTCTATGAATTTCTCACTGGGTGCCTACCGTTAGCCACTGGCCAACCTCCTCCTTCTCTTTCTGGGCAGGGTCCACCTTCTGGGCCAGGCCTAAGCCCTCCTTGGAGTAGGCCTTCGTCTTTGTCTCACGCTCCACGACCTTGAACCGCTCCATTTGCTTTGAACGGAGAGAAAGTGAGGCAAGGCCCATCTGTCAAACACGTCAACGTCAGACACGAGATTCGACATGCAGGAACACCCCGCCCTACCGTCTCAATAAGTTTGCGGTTCTCCACCAGCTGCCTTTTGTCTTTGATTTCACTGGAGGCCACCCAAGTCTTTATCTGGTCTCGGAGTCGCTGGAAAATAGAGTGGTCAGTGATGAGGGACAGTACATGGAGGCACCCCACCAAACAGCATCTTACAGCTTGAAGCCTACCCCAGGCAGCACAGGACGCAAGGCTGGAGGACACCCTGAATGGGAGTCCATCACACAGCATACACACACAATGGACAATTTAGAAATACCAACTAGCCTGTCTGCATATCTCTGGAAGACAGGAGGAGTCCAGGGGACATTGTGGAGATCATGCTAACTTCACACACAGAAAGAGACATGGGACTCAAACCCCCCAACCCTGGAGATGTGAGGCAGCAGTGCGTAAATAGAACTAAATACAGTTTAACAGTGACTGGTACAAGTGCACACCCCAGGCAAACGTACAGCTAATCAGTTGGTTCATACCTGTAATTTTTTTATCTCTTTCTTGAGGTCCACTTCATACTTTTCCTTCTGGTTAGCATTGGCCGCATTGTGAAGCTAGGAAACACCAATACCACTCAATTGCAGAGGTGCTCACCTATACACTGACAACCACACCGCACACTGAACAATAACACAAAATATGCTTACCTTCTGCCAGATGTCTTCAAACTGTTCTACACCTTCTGCTACCTTCTTCAAACATCGATCTATTTCACCTGGGTGGAGACTGATATGTTTTAATAGGTGCCCAGCCAAGGCAGTCCCATAAAATCAACCATTACATCATTCTCAGCACTCATTTTGAGGAAAGGACCCGTTAAATCCCGTTTAACTAAATTCATTCCAATAAACATGCATGATGTCTTTAAAGAATGCTATAAAAACACCACGTGGAGCCTAAGTATCAAGTTTCAAGAAATAAACACATTACCTTGTAGCTTTCTCTTGTCTGCCATGACGTTGTTACTATGATACTGTCTGCATGCCGTCTGTGACTTTGATAGGAGGAAGACTTCTGGTAAGACCCAGGGTGTCGACTTTCTGCAACAAAGCATTAGTCACCAAACAACATAGAACCAGAAAAAACTACTACGCCTTACTATGTGCCGGAAGACATTAGCATCAATCCCAATTGGTGACCCACAATGACAAATTCATCTGATTTAAGGATCGACTGATGCTCTGCTTTAGGAGCGCTTCCTGGACATACACTATCAGCCACTGACAAACTTATGTGCATCTGAGAGACGATACTCATAAATATGAGACGATCCCAATCATCGCAAACCTACCCAAAAAGCGAGTAAAGTAACAATAAGGAAAACAGGCACCGCGCTGCAGAAAGCAGCAGTCTGCTCAGCAGACGGGCTCAATCTGGCCATTTCACCCGGCTTAAGAGGCCAGCGTCCCGTATACGCTGTTTAATAATGAGGGTATAACTACCAGGAAGCTGCCTTTCCCTACCTGCAGCCGAAGGAGGCGAAGACACAGATGTATGTTAGTTTGGACGACAGAGCAGAGAGAGACAGCTCAGCAGCCTGCCGTGCAACTGCAGACGTGGTGGGATGAGCTCTTACTTACGAATAACCCAGATACTTTGGTTTTTACCTGAATTACACGTCTTTCCGACTGTGATTAATCGTTGTGTAGTATTATTCTAAATCCCCTACTATGGTTTTATTGCACTTTATGATTTCTGCTTTCGGTAAACAATCAACCGCATATCAAAGATGGTCGCCGAGGGTCCCCCTTTCCGTGCCGCTGTAACGCGGAGGGCCTGGCCGCCCGCCATCTCGGGAGTCCATTGGACGACCGAAAGCAATATCCATCTGCTATTGGCTAATATTGTCCGTCACTCAGCTCCCATAGCGTTACTACTTCCGTAGAAATATCGCCGTGATTGGCTTAAATTCTCGACTGAAAGGCGATAATGAGCGAAATGGTTTAGGAAAGGGCCTGATAGCTTCGGAATGACAATTGTCTCCATCCTTCTTCATCCGGATGCTGTGTCTGTATGTTTCCTTTTGGATTTAATGACACAGCACTGTATGTTCGACTGTGTTCTACATACTATGCGTATGGCCAAGAATTCGGCCGCTAGAATTAATAAAGTTTATCTTATCTAATATAATGCAGCGTTTCCCTCTTTGTGAAGTCATTTAACCAGTATTGTTAAAATTGATATACCGCGCTATGTTGACCTGGGACATAAAATAACAAATATAAACGAAATCTGAATGTAATACTTGGGCATCCATCAATTGAATTTCATAATTAAATCCTTGATGGATGATTGATTTGCTTACTTTTGCCACCCACAATAGGACAAAGTCCTGAATATCAGCAGGCAGGTTGGTGTTAAAGGTGATGGTTTACTTGATACTTTCCGCCCATGTTTCATGTTATTTTCTCTTTCCTCTCATTTGTTTGCCCTAGTTTAGATTACACTTGTATTATTTTCATGTATATTCTTAATAATTTGCAAAGTATGCATGACTTCCCTGCAACCCTGACTATAACTGGCTGGCTGGGTGGGTGGGTAGATAGTTGGATGGATGGATGTGCAGGCTTACAGGATGACTTGTATTTTGGATGAAGGGCAGCATCAAGTTAACACTACTCTCTTCATCAGTGGACCTTGTTAAAACTTTAAACATGGAACTTTTAGACAAATTTAGTGTCAGCAGGTAATCTCAGAGAACAATGCATTTAATCAGAAATCAAGGCCAATATCAGCATATTGCTATCTTAATGTGAAGCCACTTTATTCATTCCAGTACTATAACCTTTAAATTTTGGATAGGGTGGCTGTATTAGTCATTTTCAAGGGGTCAAACACATAGAATTACAGCAGAATGAAGGACTGGCTGTTTTTCAATCCTGTGTTCTAGGTTGCAGCACTCTTTATACCACCTGCCTGATTATGTGTAATATAATAATCATATTTGTCTTCTGAGATCAAATGCAGATGGACCCCTGACTGGACCGTTTTGCTGTTGCTGTATGTCTCATCATGAACTATTCTGTGTTATGTCAAATAACTTACGGCATAATGACTTATCTTAGACTGAATTAAATTGAAACTTTATTTGTCATTTACACAGGTACAGAAATTCCAGTACATTGGAATTCTTGCATGGTTTCTTCTGTCAAGGTTTACAAACAACAAAACAGACTCTGAGAATTAGAACAATAATTCAGGTTTTTACTATAAAATTAAATAAACAGATACAAATATAAACAAGGAGCTTTAGGGATGGACAAACACAGTGTCTTCAGTGTCGGGGGGGGGGGTAAGTGTATGAGACCAGTTTGTCGATGACATTGGGTGGGACTGGGAGCTTCTGAGTGTTCTTAGGAACCATCTTGGGGATGCTAGGAAGGAGCTGTTGTAAAAACCTCCTGCACCCGATAATAAACTCTGTTCTTTGGTGTCAGAGGCAGGGGGGACACTGGAGATTTTGGGCCCCATGAAAGTACATCATAATGGGCACCCAACCCAGACCAATCCAGCTATGTTCCACATTTTTAGGGCCCAAAACGTCCTGACTTTCCCCCTCTATGCAATGCCACTGGTGTGAGGTTAGACCCCCTTCCCGCTGAACACTGAGTGTCTTGGTTGATGGGGGTCTTTGAGGACGGCCCCTGCTTTATTCCCAACTCCTTTATGAAGCGTAATCCTTACTACTACATTATGGTTACTTTGGTGAATGATACAGCTGCAATTGTGCTTCTGGAAATTTTCTGGAAAATTATATTGGTCACAACAGCATTTCCTCAAATTCCCCCAAGCAGACATGCACAACAGAATACTATAACTATTTTACCTCCTATACTCTTTACTTTTAAGTTTGAACTTATATCCATAACCCATTAATCCATTTTCTGACTTCATTGTGATCTATACTAATATAACTTACAGGATATATTTTAAAAGCCACATCTCACAATAACTGGTCACCATTTTTAATGCAAAACACAAAACGACCGTCAAAAATTTAGACAAAGCATTGCAATTAATATAAAGAACGCTTTAATTTTAATTTTATTTTGCAATAACTAAAATACAAAATAATGTTATAAAACTATACTGTTATTTTTATGTGCTTTATTTTTCCAGCAAAGCACACCATACCAATCAAATCTATAATTCACTAGTAAAACTACCAAAAGGTAGAATTAACAAACATATGCACTGAAAGTTTTATTTAAACTGATACTGTACTGTGAGAGTCCTATAAGGGGGGGGCACTGTGGGTGTTGGGTAAATGAGAGAGCGCTGTTGGGCTCGGGAATCCTCGGAACTGTGGGTCAGTCAGCATGGAGAGGTCTGCTTCTGACTGCTGGGAGGCAGGGGATGATACAGAAAAGATTATGATTAAAATTTGATGCAACAATATTATATTGTTTTGTGCCTCACAATGACAACTGTGTACAGATTATCTGAAGCAAGACAAGAGGGCAGCTCGCTTATAAATAAGGATGTAAAAAGCCCCAAATCCAGATCTTTCCATTTTCATGATGTCCACATAGGGCAGTGTTATTCAACTCACGGTCCTCGAGGTCCGAGCACTGCTGGTTTTCCAGCCTTCCTTTACCTGTCAGTCAGGTGTGAAGCCTCTGACCAATCGGAATCAGTAATTATTAAACAACTACCTGGGAGAACTGAAAACACGGCCTGGATTTGGAATCGAGGTCCAGAGTTGAAGAACCCTGACAGGGATATGGGGAAAAGGAGAGCTACAAGCCTGTCAGCAGACTTGCCTAGTACACCGTGCCTGGTATAAACTAAACCCTGGTTTAGTAGCTGCTTAGTTTCATTGGCCATACTAAATCTCAACATGATCTCTTCCCCAAAGACCAGAATGTCATGACTGATGACAAATTCACAGACTACATGTTCGTTCTGACACTGGTGTAAATTGTTACACCAACACTAGACGGTGCCTCTCTGTCTCTGGAGTCTCTCACCGGTGCTTCGCGGTCCTTCTCCTTGGGGACACGATGTCTTTTCTTCTTGGGCCCGACAGCAGACTGCAGGGGAATGGAAGGCGAAGAGCCAGCAAACCCATTTGGCCTGTTGTCTTCTCCCCCAGGCAGAGATTCCAGATGGCCCCCACCCTCATCCTGAAAACAAAAGGGCTACTGATTTATCATGTGACACAGACTATTCTATTAATACTGCATCATGGTGATGTCCTATTACATTATAATCCTCCTAAAATGTCAGCAATCAATTCCTTCTTCTCACCTCAAGGAGTATAGTGAGATAGGCACTTCTATAATCATCTCCATAAGAACTGAGAGTTTTCATCAAAAACCTGCATCAGACAGTAGAGTTGTGGGATTAAATTTAGACACAAAGTCGACATTTTTCTTCCCCACAGGCTGTCAATACTTATTCAAAATACTTGGAAGAATCTACCGTCTTTCCTTCTTCAAACGTCGTGTCAGTCTGTGGACCTGATGAAGGCGCCCAAGTATCTTTTCATTCACCTGAAGATAAGATTTTTCAAAAAGTTCATTTATATGTCCTATACAGAAAGTCACATGATGCGTTTTCAGTCAGTATGCCAATTCTTGATTTCAATAATGTACAAATATACCATTAGCCATACATACTAACAGTTCTGGGCATTTCAGGTCCAGAATCTACAAACCCAGACCAAGACTTTGTTTCTACCAACCAGTTGAGTATAAACAGTCACAGGGTATTCAACTGTCTGGTAGAAACAAAATTTTGGTCAGGGTTTGTAGCTTCTGGACCTGAAATGCCCAACACTGTATAGTAATTAGCCACAGTTATTCACGGAGTAATCTTTACCAATTTAATTATAATTTTTATCCAACTTACTTGTTCAATCTCCTTGCAACGCTTGCTTAATGCCAAGTACTTCCTTTTCTCTCGCTCCCTCCTTTCCTCTTCCTCCTCTTCGTCCTCCTCCTCTTCGTCTTCCTCATGTCCAGGCCCTGACCCGTGCTCCGCACTGTGGAGAAGCTCACTTCCACTTGGCCCAAGCTCAACCTCCCCTGGTCCAAGCTCCACTCCCCCAGGTTCCAGTTCTGCTTCCAGAATGTGGCCCCCAAACAGAGGGGGAAGGTCAAGGCCAGAGAAATCTTCCATCATCTGTGTAAAAAACTAAATGAGTTACAGTCTTGTGCCATTGTCCAACACTGAAATATTTTGGTCACAGTTTTTCACTAACATGAAAAAGCAACCACTTTACTTATCAAGTAGCCATCACTTTAATTCTTCATAGTATATCAAGGTTGGCTTTAGTCCTTATACTAGTGTTTATTAAAGTAAAATCATAATAAATGCGCTTATATCCATTCGTGCCACAAATTATTAAAAGAATCACTTGAGCTGTTCTTTAACTGGATAAAGGACTTCTCGTACAATATCCATATATTCTTCCTAACTTTTTAAATGGGTTAAAGCACACACAATTCACACACTAGCGTTAATATGTTTTACCAAAACATAGTAACTGATACCTTGACTGTATATTTACGTCCGAATCCAGTTCCTACAAAACACAACAATAATTTAAGTTACATAAAAAACCGACGTATCCCCAGAACAAAAAAAAAGCATTAGGCACAATTATCTCACTGTTCACACCATCAAAATATTACTCTTCCACGTCGCTTCTATAATGCGTCAGCAAGTTACCGTAAAATAACATATACTGCGCAATTTTATTCAAGTAAGGAAGTCGCGCTTTAATTTCAGTCTTTTTACTTAAAAAAATTAAGCATGTGTCAATATCAGCTCTTTTAGCAGCAAAAATGCACATTGAGTTTTTTCTTTCAATTATTTATTTTTAAACAAGCAATTCATCAACGCCCACTAATGTAACAATTTAACTACAATTCCCATAAGCCCGCTGCGTGACATGCTGAGGGAATCATGGCAGCGCGTAAGTATTTAGAGGAAAGCTTGTTATTTCGTATTTAACTTGTCTTAATGTACCTACAGAAGAATGCAGGACGTTCTGTTACTTAATTGGGAAAACTGACGGTGCTTTCGTTAGTATTCAAATATACGATTTATTTTTTGCGATAAAGGTGACCTTGTTTTAAGGTTCAAAGTGAGGCCATAGGGATAAATAGAAGAACGTCGGATTCTACTCTATTCAACCTCTCGATCTCTGTTTAAGGCTTATTGATATATTTTATTTTGTTGTGTCTTTGACTGCGTGTTACATGCGGATTTTCCCCCATTAGACCTATGGGGATGCCCCATGCGAAGAAATTTCTGATTATTGCTATTCAAAAACGAGTTTAACACCAAGGGAATAGAGTATAATCGGACAGTTTCCAATACTGCTTGTAACTGAGTATTGTGCAATCACAGAAAAAAACACAATTAAAAAGAAATAATGTGCTGTTAGGTTTGTAAGAAATATGCACTGATCGACCGAGTATTAAAAAGATTAGTGTCTGCACAGTGCTTTAGTAATATGAATATAAAATGAGTAATATTACATTCCTTAATATACAAAAAACAAACTTAAATATAATTTTTTAATTGTAAGAAGTGCTTGTTTATAGACCACTGTGTTCATTTTTATGGAGCATAGTACAGTGTTCACATTGGACAAAGGTGAATATGCTGTTTTGAATGTGGATGAAATTTGTTAAACTTAAACAAAGATTTTCAGTGAATCTGGCCTGGTTAAGGCTTTGGCACTATGAATTGTTAAGCTATTTGCTAGTTTTTTTTTTTTGCAGTCAGCTAACAAAGAACATTAGGCTTCACTTGAGATATTCCAGATCAAATTTAATGAATGCTTTTATGTAAAGATCATATCAGTGTAATGAGTGCTTTTACAAGATTGTGTTCTTTGGTAAAATGTAGTCTTAGAGTAGATTTTCAGATTCAAAATATCTCTAATCTTGTTTTGTTTCGTTACTGGTCATTTATGAAATGCTTCTTGGATATATGAATGCCTAGAGGACGTATTCTGTTTCGTTTTAGCGTATAAAATGTAACTTTTTTGAATGTAACCATCTTTCACTGATGGAAAATGTGCATTTACTGCTGTTTATGGTTCATAGAGTGTGTGAGCTGACTGAGGCCTCTGTCCTCCTCAGGTATTGGATCCTTCCTGAAAAATGCTTGGGCCAAGGAGCCTGTAGTTACAGCTGCATGTGGAATCGGGCTCATGGGTCAGTCCTGATATGAAACATTCAGTCTTCTGTGCACCTCTGATTCCAATATATCCTGCAAACAGCAGTACTCCTTCCTTCTTTCCAGCTAACCCACTCCTGCTCCTTTCCAGTTCTATTCCCATCCGATTGCAAGTTTATTTCATTTAGTGAAATGTTGTTTGTGGTTGTGCTGTCTGACCGCTAAGTTTCATTATCTGTAGTACTGAATAAAGGAGCAGGTTATGTATATGGCTGTGTCTCAGTAACTCTGCTTTCCGCCCTAGCTGTGATCCTGCCTTTAGTGAGTCCGTATACAAAGTACTCGGCAATGATGAATGCAGCTGTGCCCTACAACTACCCAGGTATCCAGTCCAGTATTTCGATTTTATACTCATACAGAGATCAGTTCAAACAAAGTCATTGTAAACATTTTGTAACCCCAAGGCTGTCACAGTGTTAGAGCATAACTTACTATCCTACAGCTTCTTTTGAGAAGAAACTTCAAATCAAAGTTGGAGTTTTTGTTGGGGAAATACTCACTTGTTTCTTCTGGCTCTTTTGTAGTGCCTGTCAGAGATGATGGGGACATGCCTGACGTCCCAAGTCACCCCTGCGACCCCCAGGGCCGCAACCTAGACTGGCTAAAAAACTTGTAGCATCAAAGAAATTTCTTTGCTGATTGTATCCCTTTGATTCCTTCGCTGTTAAAGTGTTTAATAATAAACCTCTTTATTTAATGTCGCTCCTTTACGTTCTTTAACATTCCCGGTTGCTGGAAGGAACACTTTTTTGAAAATGTGCTATGGAGTAAAGTTTCCTGCATCGCCTACATTTACCGCATTCTTCAATATTTGAAAACATCTGGTTAAACAAATAAAGAATTAAGATTTCAACTCTAAATTGATGGTGATGAAAACAGTCGATTTAGTGGTTAACATTTATTTTGCCTTAAAAAAAATAAACAGCTTACACAGAAGTAACAATTGTTTGGAGACATTTTACCAACTCAAGTCTCGACGTTTCTTCGGACGAACCGTGGGTATTTCCAAATGTGATTTGATTAATGGGAAAAGCCCAGATCACTGCACAGCCAAATGTTATTGCATAATTGCAGGAGTATTAATGTCAGGCTTTTAAAAAATTGGTTCAAATATGAGGTTCCCACTTGAGCTTGTATCACAGTACAGAGAATAAGGGCTTCATGTTCTCTCAGCAGAGATCAACCCTCCATCAGATTGAACAGAGCAGAACATAAGGGGCCCTGATGCCCAGGTGAAGTACAATAGCAGGGTTCCCTTAAGACAAGTGGTGGAGAGTATGGTAATTGGTATAACTGATACAAATTAGTACAGTATACAAAAAAAATTCTGGCCATTTCATATAAATCATCATTGCATCTTTCATTTGTTTTTTTTTTACTGACAAAACATCTCTTGGCCATTAAATCAAAAGTTGTAGGACACTACTGAAGGATATTTTAATATGCCTACAAACAGAAACATTCAGCTCTGGTTCTAGGGGCCTAGAGCTGCACCTATCTATATGTGACTTGGGTAAAAGTTACAAGGTTTAAATATAAGATTCATTTTGAGAAATAAGCCATTACTTGTGACATTAACTTTAAAATTACACAATTCTCACAATTACAAAAATGTTATGCCCAGCATCATTCAAAACACTTAACTGCTATTAGAATTACTGTGGCACTGTTACACATTTTCTTTGACACGAATGCTTCAGTGTCTGCACCAAAGAGAAGGCCGATTAGGTGGGCATTTCATGAAAGAAGGCAACTGTTTGGTTTGGACATATATTCCATAACACACATCATACAGATTGTTTAAAAACCAAGTAAGCACGGATGTATGCCAGGGCATCTCCCATGGAAACCTTTTAAAACCCATAATAATAAACACCAAAATGGAGCACAAATCTAGAGGTATCAAGATACATACTTTAAAAAAAAAAAATCAGAATAGAGATAGCAGGGACACACAAAGAGGGAATTTCCCCGTCATTATCCTCTTACGCTCCCGTTCACACTTACTCAGGCACATTTCAACTTTCCGGAACTCTCTTACGCTCCATCCACCATGGCGCCTCCCATGGCGCCGTCCCCTCAGCCCTGCTTTCGCAGTTTATCCCCTTCCCTCACCCTGCCAAATTCCTCTGCAGCTGAGATTTTACTCATGCTGTGCATTTAGGAGCACTGTGAACCTGGTTTTCGAATTAAGTATATGTAACCGGACAAGACCTGAGTTCTCTGATAATATTCCAAGCCCTCACACCCCGACCATTATGCTTAAGGTCACACCGAGAGCTTTTCTCATATTCAGATCTCCATAGGACAAAATCCAGCTCAGCCAAAATCCTTCATGTTTCTCAATTCTCTGCTGTCCTTACAATAAAAAATCTATAATTCTATCATTACCACTGATCTGCTTCCGTAAACATCTATAAATAGATATCATTTGTTGCCATACCTGTCTGGCTTTAGAATAAAAAACCCCTCTTCAGGACACAACACCAAAATTAAAAAAAAAAAAAATACTAGTCTTGCTAACATTTTTCACTGAAATCACAGCAATATTGCTATTCAGTCCTTCATCGTAAAATTTTTAAGCATCCGTCTTATATTAGCAATACAACAATGTGAATTATATTCATAGGCAAATGATATATAAAATGGCCCTGTGGCTCTATGATTTAGCACCCTCATGTTTAATCCAGTTACCCTTCACACATAGCACATACACATCTAACCTACTATTAAAACAAAAAAAAAAGTTCTTTTGTAAAAGCCTAGACGACTTGAAAGCTTAACTTCAGGAATTATATAAACAATTAATAAGCATTAGGTCATCTTGAAATGTTCAAGATTTAAGTCATTTTGGGCCAGCGAGATACTATGTATGTTGCGATTATTTAGGAACATGTTATTATAGCTGAAATGATTGACAGCTCTTTAGCGGCCTCAGGTGGCCGCAGAGCAGAAACGCAAGGAGCCAGTCCCTCCTTCATGAAACACGGGCTGCAGCAGTGCATCAATTCATCAGGGGCTAGGTCCTATAAAACAGCACTTCCAAATCCTGCAGCATGTTTATGGCTTACACAATGAAATGAACATTAATAAAAATAAAAATAAAAAAACAATCCGACATCTTAAAAATAAACCACAAAACAAAATGTCAGTGTTCAGCCAAACAGGTCAGTATTAAAATATATCAGTTTTACCCAAGGTCATAAATGATACTGAACATTCTCAGTTAAAGGAACTGATATTTCATTTATGTATGTATGTATGTATATATATATATATATATATATATATATATATATATACA